CCTCACCTTTCTTCTACAGAGCTTAAGTAGGTATACATGGGATTCCTAGGCAAATCCCTGCATCCAGGTAGTGATTAAAACCCAGACGCACGTGAACTTCAGCAATGCGCCTACAGACTATCACTGGGGATTTTGTGTGTGAGAGAGAGTAACACAGAGGTGCAAACAGGGGCGAGAGGTGCTTTATGTTCTAACTAGGCCGACTGATATTGGTGCTTGGTGGTTGGCAAGGTGATTTGTGTCCCCTAAGGTGAGGATGTTACTAGGCAGCAGGTTGTATAAATGTTCCAGATCCCTTGGGAGACCCCTAAGTCTCCTGTGGCTTTCCTGCAGGATCGCTTCATAGCACAACAAGAGCATGTTGCTCATTTCTCCCCTCGAGGAAGCAGTCTTGGCTTGGCGTCGTTGATACAGCACAAGCTGGCAAGACGCTCTGTGGAACCTCCATGTGACGGGCAAATATATCACTGAATACCAGCCGCTGTCAGGGCTGGCTCACTCATAAGTTGGGGTGAAGCTGCCGCCTCAGGTGTCAGAAACTCCCAGGGCAGTGGTTGCGGGGGGTTAACAATGGGGGAAGGGCCACAGCCTGGAGTAAAGCACCCACACTGCATGCAGAAGGTCGCAAGCCCAGTCCCTGGCATCTCCAGGCAGAGACCCCACCTGAATCACTGGACAGCTGCTGCCACGTCAGTGTAGACCAGGGGTCAGCAACCTTTTTCACCGTGGGCTGGTCCACCATCCCTCAGACTATGTGGGGGGCCGGACTATACTTTGAAAAAAGAAGAACGAATTCCTATAACCCAGAGATGCATTTTAAATCAAAGGAAACATTCTGCTCATGTAAAAACACCAGGCAGGCCCCACAAATAACCCAGAGGTGCATTTTAAATAAAAAGACACATTCTACTCATGTAAAAACACCAGGCAGGCCCCGCAAATAACCCAGAGATGCATTTTAAATAAAAAGACACATTCTACTCATGTAAAAACACGCTGATTCCTGGACCATCTGTGGGCCAGATTGAGAAGGTGATTGGGCCGCATCTGGCCCCCGGGCCTTAGGTTGCCTACCTCTGGTGTAGACAGACCTCAGTATGATGGACCAAGACCTGACTCAGTACAAAAAGGGCTACCTATGTTCCTTCCTCAGTGAAAGAGCACATGATTCTCATGCAGGAGGTGCCAGGATCAACCCCCAACATCTCTAAATAGGTCTGGAAAAGGCTCCATGTCTGAAACCCTGGAGAGATGCTGCCAGCTGAGCTAGATGGACCTGCAGTCTGACTTGGTTGTACCCTTTCTATGTTCCCGTGGGGACTATTGCCCTTATGCCCTGCTTATGGGCATCTCCAAGGGGCCACCGGGGAGCAATGGGATGCTTGAATCTGATCCCGTACGGCTCTTCTCGTACACTTAAATTCTATTTGCATTATGATTTGCAGCGCTGTCAGGAATGTGGCCGGGCAAGTGTCCCGAGTGCCAGCTGGAGAGCAAGAAGCCAGCTCCGCCAGCTGACTGTGGAAGAAAACAGCACAGGTCCAAAACTGCTCTTCTGGCAAGTTAAAGAACACAATCCTGCATCTCACAGGTGCTGTGCAAAACCCCGTCTTCCAAATCTGTCACACCTCCTGCCTTAGAATGGATTTTATAGACTCTGAGAGGTAGCTATCTAGTCAAATTACCTGCATTGTCCCAAGTCTGGGAGGGGCCTTTAAAAAAATGACAGTTCCTAAGATTCTTTGAGGGTAGTGTTGACTGTTAAAGTGATATAAGGTAAAGGTAAAGGTACCCCTGCCCATACGGGCCAGTTGTGTCCGACTTTAGGGTTGTGCGCCCATCTCACTTAAGAGCAGTGGCGTAGTGTGGGGGGTGCGGGGGGGCTGGCCGCACCGGGCGCAACATCTGGGGGGCGCGCGCTCGCACTCGCAGCTCTCTGCCCCTACCTGGCTCACTCACTCTCTCTCACTGCAGTGCTGGCTGTGCGAATCCGATCCGAGCCGCTGGGTCGCCGCCCACTGTGGAGGGGGGTGGGTGCCAGGCGTGCGGTGCGGAGAGAGAGGGAGGGACTATCTGGGGGAGGGACAGTGCAGCGGCCGCCCAGCGCAGCGCTGAGCGCGGGAGAGAACCACACCAGACCAGCCCAGGCAGCAGCAAGAAGAAGCTGGCAGCGGCGGCAGGTTAGGGGTTAGGGGGCGCAAATTACTTGCCTTGCCCCGGGTTAGGGGGCGCAAATTACTTGCCTTGCCCCGGGTGCTGACAACCCACGCTACGCCGCTGCTTAAGAGGCCGAGGGCCAGCGCTGTCCGGAGACACTTCCGGGTCACGTGGCCAGCCTGACGAAGCTGCTCTGGCGAGCCGGCACCAGCGCAGCACACGGAAACGCCAAAGTGATATAAGAGTGCCTTAAATGTATAGTGAAAATCTTTCTCTCTCTGTGTGTGATACAGAAGTCAGGAGGAATGCCTTTGGTTCAAGGCTCTTCACCCCTGTTTCAGAGGAAGCAAGAAAATCTAATGTTGCAATCCTTATTTTTTCATATACATTTTTACAGAAGTTTTAAAATTAGAAGAAAATGGTTTTTTTCTTTACAGAAGGCAAACAAGAAAGAGAGGAGAGGGAGAGGAATACCAGAAGGGAAGCAACAGAGACATGGAACATGATTGCAGGAGAATATTGCTGAGGTTTAGCAAATACGTGTACATAACTGGAAGAGACAATTCCACCCTAATTACCAATATGATGTGCGTGTGGTGGATCAAACAAAAATATTAATCTTAATGCCCTTGCCTTTAACTAATGCTGCAATCCTATGCCCACCTGGGACTAGACTCACTAGGGCTTACAAAAATCCCCATAAGCATTGGAGCGTGTTTCAAAACCAGCTTAATTTGCACTAATCGAAACAGGCTGTGGAGTTCTGCTTTCTTTCCTCCCCCAATTGCAAAGTGCTGGTTTCTCCGTTCGCTGGCTGAAGGATAGAGGCTGAGAGACGGGAGCGGATGAAAGCCGTTGGAGGAAACAAAGATAAGTTGTCTTGCCACCTCGCCAAGTGTGAACAGCGTGACAGCTGCTTCTCTTTATTGTCAGAAAACACAAACCTTTATTAAATACCAAAGAGAGCCCCATAAATCCAGGAAAGGCTGCGAGTTCCATGTCGGTTAGACCCTCTTCCTCCTCGTGCCCGAGAAGTCTTTTAAAGCAAAACAAAAAGAAGAAGGAGAAAAAGGGAAAGGGGGAGGGTTAAATCTAGGGTGTTCTGCCTTTCCTGCTGATTGTTAGCCAATGTTTCCATGACACTGTAGCAAAAGCCAAGATAAATATTTAATTATGGAAACAACCTGATAGTTAAAACTTGGAAATAGAGGTGGGGAGGTGGAGGGATGGCGGCGTGCGGGGGGGGGGGGGGAGCTGGGAAGTAGCTAGCAGCAGGCTTACTTTGTAAAAACAAAACAAAACAAAATAGCAGCCACATAGCCACATTTCCATTGACGGAACTAGTTCTGCAGATGAAAGTTGGATTTGCAAAGATGAGTTTCTCACCATGTAGCAGAGGGTGGGAAGTTGGGGAAAACATCAGCTTTAATAGCCTGAGAAAGCAGGAGCAGATCTGCAAAGGGCCAACTCGTTCAGGGACCTCCTCACCAGTGTGGTGTAGTGGTTAAGAGTGGTGGACTCGTAATCTGGTGAACCAGGTTCGCATCTCCGCTCCTCCACATGCAGCTGCTGGGTGACCTTGGGCTAGTCACACTTCTCTGAAGTCTCTCAGCCTCGCTCACCTCACAGAGTGTTTCTTGTGAGGGAGGAAGGGAAAGGAGATTGTTAGCCGCTTTGAGACTCCTTAGGGTAGTGATAAAGCGGGATATCAA